TAAATATTTTATTTTGTATTTCCAATTACATTTATTTTCATTATATCTTTATCTATGTAAGAAATATTCGATTATATTTTCAAGAACACGTATGCGTAGAATGGGCGTAGAAAGTACCACTTGGTCGAAGTGGTACGATCCGATACGGCATTTTAACGACATAGGAACTTGCAACAAGTCGAGTATATTTTACTAATTAATTTATCCAAACGATGCAATGTGTGTTATTTTAAATGACAATTTACTTTATTTTATGTGAATGTAAATTTCAAAATTTTTTATTTTGTATTCAATTCACGTTTTCAGTTAATCAATTTATTCGTATGTAAACATTGTTTTTAGTTATATTCGATTTGTATTTTTAACATAATCAATGGTAGAATATTCTTTTACGAATGAGAAATGGTTGAAATAGCTTTCCCGACAGAGGATTGCAAATTTCAAGATTTCTGATTGAGTTAAAGGATTTTCTTTAAATAATTCGAGGCAAATTAAATAAATCTCAAAAAATGGATCATAGGTTAATTTTATATTCGATTTATCATTTCCATCATTTACGACAATGTGTACGCGACACAGTACCATTTTTGGGCGCTGTGGGGGTGCTTACCCTTCCCCACACGTAACCGACTCCCGAACCCGTTAAATTTGATTTCTGGTAAATGTAGACCATTTTTGTCTTAAAAAATGATTTTTCTTAAATTTCTTTTAAAAAGACGTTTTTAGGTATTCGACCTACCTAACCCAAAGGTCTATGGCGACTCTATTCAATTTAATCCAAATTAATCCAAAATACTCAATTTTTCAAAATAAAAGTCATAATCGTTTTAAAAATAATATTTAATTATTTTACAAAAAAATGGTTATGACACTATCAAACATCATCAATCATATGCATCGAAAGCGTTGTTCTGGTGAGAAAGTTATATTTAGGAAGCAACTCGATGTTCAAGTACGTGTCTGGATGGAAAAATATGATCCGGTCAAGGCTAGAATCAGGTCAGTCTTGAATTCAGTTCGAAAATCAATGGAAAACAGTTGATAATGATATATACATGTGTTTCTGATGATATGGATAACATGAATGGAGTTTGAGAAAAATAATCTTCAAAACAAGCACTGACAAAGGGTTGTGAATATTTTGCCATTCTATTGATTAAAATACGGAGACTTTGATTTCATGGAGGTGACAACTGACAAACATGATTGGATTTTCTGGATTTTGTTTGTTATCTCAGGCAGATCAGGGGAGCGTGGCGGTGGAAGTTACTTGATGGACAAGGCAAATGCCATTGAAGAGTACAAGGAAGCTTTCAGAACAAAATCTTACAAAGAAATAATTTATGTGAATCACTCCTACGAAGCATCCATCAGACCCGAGTTTATTATCAGAAAATTACAAGGGTGATCACGATAAGCAAGAGGATTCAAGAGATTAAAGATGAGCAATGCATCGTTATACACAAGGAGCTGGCTGGATTTGCATTGCTTAAAAGTCCATTTGAGACCATTAGTCCAGTGCGATTCCGAAAGATTCATGAAGCTAACCAGGATTTGTTCCATAAACTAACATCGACACGGGAAAAGCTAAAACGGAAAGCGGAATTCAGAAGAATCTCCAAGAAAATCGGGAGTCTTTGTCTAGTAATTTCTTACACCACTTTTATAATTTCTTTGCTGGTGCTTGCATTCCACAGCGTGATTCGAATGGTAGCAGCACTGGGGCTTGCAGCATGCTTCTTTGGCACAATGAAGATGAAAAAATGCCGGTCATGGTGCAATAATCAGTAGGGGTTTAAGACAAGCTTGCTTGATATCTCGGCGAAAGGGATTTATATTTTGATCAATGATTTCGATACCATAAGTAGACTGGTGTGATGAGATAGAGCATCGTAAAGCTATAGCGATTAATTGCATTAGAAATGGGAAAGTTGAGGTAATGAAGGAGGTGGTGAGAGAATTGGGTTCGCACGATTTCATTTTCATGGAGCAGATGAAAGAGCTAGAGGAACATACTAAATTATGTTTTCACACGATTAACAGATCGAGAAAGCTCATGATACAAGAAATAGTCGATGCGCGAGCATTGCATTGGCGCGACGCAAGGGTAGCCTTTTGTTCTTTTGTATTTAGGATTGATGAATTATCATCTGAAACTCTTGAACAACTTGGAAAAAGAGATTCGGTGCATGAAATAATTTATTTGTGAAATTGGTGGCAGTTTAACATACTGCCAGAAGCTGTCTCTGTCTGCTCTGTTAAAGGCTTTTCCCTTAAGCAAAACCTGCCAAAGGCGGTGAGTAAAATATCAAAATTTTGTTGGTTGATTTCTTACATTCCAACTGCTGGAGCTGCAATGTATTCTTGCGCTTCTTATTGACAGTATAACTATGATGGTGAAATAATTTCAAACATAAAAAAGTAAACTTGGCAGCCTTGAGTTTGAGGATTCACTTCATCTGAGGCGGGCAGCATTTCGTAAAATAATAAGCACGCCTCTGCCGGCAACTCTTAAGCCCCTTGAGAAAACTCAGAATTGTTGTTTGCTAGAAAAAGTTTGGCCAAATCCCCAATTTGCAGGCACGATGTTGTTAAATATTCGAGTCACTCCATCTGTAGTGGTGACCTTGAACGACAGTGATTGGCCATTGAGATAGGCATTGGATTGCCAGTTAGCTCCCCGGTTCCTAGAATTTGCCGTCCACCCAGTTTTAGAGCCCTTGATGGACACAGATTGGACGGATCCTGCCCCACCAACATTGCTAATCAAAACAAGCTCAAAGTAGTCTCTCCCGTTGATACTGAACCTTACACCACCATGCTTCTTGGAACCCTGTATTACAAGAACGCCAAAACTTTGAGAGATAAGATTTTAACAAGAATTGGGGGGGGGGGGGAAGATGTCGTGGAGATGCTACCTTCGGAACAAAACGGGCACGATACCACCTCTGTAGATACCGATCTTCTCCCAGGCAGGCTGAGCCATATCGAAGTGCTGGAGCGGAGGGTTGCACCAGCCTCCGACATTGATCAGAAGAGCAAAGTTAGGAGGGCAAAAGTTTGTTGCCGTGATGGTCAAGGATGTTCCTTTTATGCACCATCTGGGGTTGGTCTGATAATCGCACATGATCTTATAGCATTGTCCACATGAAGCTCCATTGTTGAACAAGGCTGTACTTAAAGCAGCAGCCCTCGTTCCATAGCCAGTTGAATACAAGTTACCGTACCCACAAGCTCCGCCTATTGTCAATAAAACCATTCAATTATTAAACCGTAGTGAAAACTGAAAAAGATAATGCATGCAAAAGAAAGGAAAAAGGGAGTACCCATAGTTCCAGAGGCATCGCTGCCGCCGTATAATGTGGCATGAGCTTTAGTCCAGCCAGAAACCACGAAGGCGTTCACGGTGCTTGCTGTACAGCAGAATCCAATTAAGATTGCTAATGCACAAATGACTTTTTCCTTTTTTTATTGCTAAGATTGATAGGACTGCTGGGAATGAATGTATTTACATTTATTGGCATTTGCAAGAAGAAGCATTCGGTGTTTAAACAAGGAACCAAACTCTCTGCTATACAAGACAAGACAGTCACATGTGATCCCTGCAAAATGAACGACCGATTCATTTCAAGTTTTAAGCAATTTAAAATTGAATTATCCCTTCAAAGACTCTACATTTCTGAGTCCCGCGTTCTTTCGTTGCCAGATGTCCCTCCCAACAGAAGAGCCGTGAATGGATCGAAAACCATATGCCCCAATTGAAGATAAAACGACAGCTCTACTTGGTTCTCTTTTGCAATAGAATACTTGAATCAGATCAAAGCTTGTACACAAGTTCACATGGCTATTTGTTTGACCCATATGAAACTAGTTATTGCACATGCAGAAGGCGTAGGCGAGGTGAGTTTTTAATCCAAGTGTTCTCGTCTCTCCTCATATCAAGTGGAGTTTCAGATGTTAAAACGAAGCAACAACTAGCCCAAGCCAAAAGATTTAAATAGCGAGTCCAAGCAGTTTAACAACGAACAGGAAGCTGACTCGGCGTATGTATAGTTTCTTTCCTCGTCTTAAAATTTTGAAATAATTTATCATCCAACTTACTATAGTATTACAGGTTTTGAATCCCAATCCTGATATTTTTTTAAAATATTTTTTCACATGATACTTTTTTATCAAACTTGAATAATATATATATATATATATATATATATAATTTACATAATCATTTATTCAATTTGCACGTAAATTATATTATCTAAACGGGCTGTACTAAAATTTAAATATAATAATTATAATTTTTTTTATTAACTTCAAGATTTTGGAAAATTGATCAACCGAATATAATATCAAAATTTTAAAGTCTGAATTCTTAAACAATTTCTCTATTTTCCGCAATCAGTATATTATTTTTATTTTTATTATGCACTTGTATTAAATAATTTTTATAAAGTTTTCTATTAATATAGTTTAATAATTAGTTTATCCAATTCTTTAGCATTGATAGAACTTGCCATGTGGCGATGATAGCACCGTCAAGCAAGAGGCTAGAGGGGCAGATTGAAATGGGACTTGATAATTATCCAAAACTAATTGGAAGCGAACTCAATTGGCAAGCCTATATAATTAGTGGAGCATAATCTATTCTTCGCTCGTTTCAATTAAAAAATCGAATTATCTATTTAATGTATTAGTCTCTGGATTAATCCACTAATATAGATGGATTAAACCTCGTCAAACCAATTTAACATCAATAGATTTGACCAATTAAATTGGTTATTCAATTTTGTATATATATTTGTTTACAAAATAAGTCCTAAATTTATCTAAAAATTAAGTTTTAAATTTAAATTACGAATCAGATAGGTCTTCATATAAAAAAATTATGAAGATGTGAGCTCTTTTTTAAAAAATATGAAACATATAAGCTCTTATTTGAAAAATCATAATTGAACGTTTTCAACATTTAAAGATGGCAACTACCAAGCTCTGGACACAAGCAATAAAGGGGAAGTTTTCTGTCAGATAAAAGCTTATACTTGTTCAAACATATCATCAGCCTTGGCTACAAGAATAAACAAACAAAAAAACAAGTGTCTGCCTCTTGTACCGTGACGCAGCACCGCTCTAGAAATACCTGAATGCAACTATGCTAGTCTCTACCCATCAACACATCCTAAAAACTGCTAGTAACGAACAATGAAAAAAAAAATGAACAGACCTAAAGCTAAACAAATGAAAGACGAGATTAAAAAAAATCATAAAACATTGAACTGGGCATGCATCCACCATTCTGATTACGTTCAAGGACTGCCACCACCACCTCATGCCGCTGCCTGCATTGGCCCATTAGACCTAAACCCACGGCCCCTTCCACGATATCCCCTGCCACGGCCACGACCTTCAAAAAAACAAATCGACGGGACCATTAGAAGCAACATTCGTAGTTATTCATCCGTACAGCAACAAAATGAAACCCTCTTGCCTTTCTTATGAAACCTATTGGCACAATTCTGACTGACAGAAAATGAAGAATATCCTCCCTAGCAAGTTATCCATCATGCCATCACCCAGTTTTTTTTTTATTGAATTTTCCTCTTTAAACTGCACGATATGTTGGAAACACAAAGGGCCAATACTAAAGGTGATCATGGGAAAATAAGTAACCATATTTTTTGCGGGAAAAAAATTGAACATGCTAAAACTCCAATAAATAAACAAAACAAAGGGAGAAAACTCACCACGGCCACCTTGGGGAGGGGCTTCATAATTGTAGCCTCCATCTTCCAGCCTATCAACCTGAGGTCCATTATATCCTCCACGGCCTCGGGAACCACGTCCACGTCCTCGACCTCTTCCCCTAGCATAGCCACGATTACGATCCCAGCCTCCATCCTCGTACTCAGCAGAGACAAAAGCATTCCCTGAAGAAGCATGCAACTAAATCATGCAAGAACACAACAAAAACATCGAACGTGTGGAATCTCTAATCAAGATTGGCATACCCGTACTCCTTGGCCTGCCTCTACCACCATGGCCCCTACCTCGACCATTAGATGAGCCCTCTGACAAACAAAAAAGAAATCTATAAAAGAAATACAGGCGTCACAAACAAACAGCACAGGTAACGAATCATGTCCCTACCTCCTTCAGGATCAATTTTTACGGATGCCTTCACCTGGTCAGCTGGTAATGGAGGCTGATACCTGGATAAGGAAGCAGTTCATAAGTCCCAGACATCTTTGATAATTCATGTAAACTAACAAGACACCATCATCATTAGAACCTACACCAAAAATCCTTCCATAAGCTAAAACTTGCTAGTCCCCAAGATACGTAAAAGTGACATTAAACGACATTAGATGTAATGAAGCTATAACCAGCTAGTTTAATATTACCTAAAAAAGGAACCTGATTGACCCTTAATATTTTAAAATTCACTAAAACTGAAGGCACACCAAGCAAAGTTAAGAATAATGCAGTAAAGGGAAACAAGTGTGGGAACTTACCCAACAGATGATGTATTCAATTCTTTCTTTGAAAGGGTTATAGTGATCATGGACACATGCCTAGTGGTCTCCAATCTGTGATAATCAAACAATGTTTACTAGAGTTCTCCAAATAAACATATTAAGGGACAGAGAAAATAACAGCTATTTATCACGACAAAGGTTGAATAAAAGCTCTTACGGAAGAAGTCCTTCTTCAAGAGGCTCCCACATATCTGTTATATCGGTGGATCCAATTGATGTAATCTGATGAAGACCAACAATTCTTCTCTGCATAGCAGGTACATGGAGCACATTATCAGCTAAAACAATAATCAGAGAATAAAATTCACACACACCTAGGCAAGTTTACATATAAAACATTACCTTAATTAACTCCACAATTGTTACACTCTTGTTAATGGCTCTCCCCATTGCCTTAAAGACTATTTGATTCGAGCCCTTATCCTACCAGACATTAAAATCATTAAAAACGAGAAGCAAACATTGGATTAAAGAAGAAAACTACGAACAGTTAACAAATAAGAGTTCTTGTGCATATTTCTCAAATTATGCGAACACCCAACTCATATAACAGATCTAAATGCGAATAAATTAAACAAAATGAAGGAAAAAACCTGAAGCAAAGTCATGGCATAAGTGATATAATTGCGCATCCTGCCTTGACTGGTAATGCGAATCTCGTTCTCATCAATAGGTGTCTCTGCTTTCGGCTTCTCCACTCTCTGGTAACGATCCATCTTTTTCTCCGCCAAGAAATCAATATTCGGAAAGTTCCATGCAGACAAAATTAAATTAAAAATACAAAATACAAAACAGGGGGAAAAAAGTGGGGTTAGATCTTAAAAATACCTTAATTGGTTTGATAATGGAGTCGTAAATGATAAATTGGTCCACCAAGAGAGAGCCCTCTTCTACGGCTTATTTTTCTTTCTTTTACGCCCTAAAGCCGCTATCTTTAGCTGTCTCATGCTTATTTATATTCTCTGCACTGCGCGCTCCTACAACTACCCCAACCGACTGCGTTCACCGGTTCAGCCCGGCTCTATTTCCTTAAATTTGTTTGGTAAATTACACATTTAGTCACTCCATTATAAACGTTTTCATTTTAGTCACTAACAATTAAAAGAATATAAAGAAATAGTCAACATTGTAACCTTTTATCCCAGGTTTTCTCTATTTTGCCTTACACATCGTTGGTTCCTCTCTTCATTTTTAATTGATAAACGGTGACACTAGTCTTGATGTTAGTTGACGGCGTTGATATTTCATGTCTTCTCTTTATTTTCTTATATTATATCTTTTATTCTTTTTTCTCTTTTTTTCTTCAGTTTTCAATAATTCTATCTTTATGACATATTTTTTTTGTCTTTTGACATGTTTTCGTTGTTTGATTGTTGTTTTTGTTTATTTTTAATTAGGTTTTTAATATTTTCTTAAATGGTCCTTATGCGATCTTAAATTACTTACCACTTAAACCAATCCTTAATAGTGTTTTAGATGTTTTTTAAACAAAGAACACAAAGAAATATTTAAAGGTCGTCGACCTGCATACCATGACCATAAGCATCACCATGCAACAACAACTTAATCTCAATATGTGGGTGTTGAAACGTTCGAGTATCAAACTATCATAACCATTTTTCGGGTGAAACAATTATTTATTGTTTAAAAAACAATTATGACTTTAATTTTATAATGATTTGGAATTAATTTGGATAGAGTCGCCATCGACCTTTGGGTTAGGTAGGCTGAATACCTAAAAATGTCTTTTAAAAACAATTTTAAGAAAAAAATCATTTTTTAAGACAAAAGTTGGTATGTATTTACCAATGATTCAATTAAAATGAGTTCGGGAGTCGATTACGCGTGATTTATGATTAGTACCCCCACAGCTCCCAAAAGTGGTACTGTGTCGCTTACACGTTGTCGTCATGGTGAAAATCCTGAATCAAATATCAAGTTAAAATATGATACGTTTATTGAACATTGATAATAAATTGAGGTATAAATTCAAACTAAAAATACCTATCTACAAATATTATGAGTTGAAATAAAAACTATTCATGCTTAATAAAAGGGTTAAAATATAACAATAATAACATTCAACATATAAAAACACAACTAATACACAAACATTATATATTAATTATACTAGAATGCTAATAAAGGCGTTTTTCCCGAAAAATCACTGGTGATCGGTATATTTACCGATCTAACACCGGTCAGACTATATTTCTCGATCTAACACCCTTAGCAGTAAAGCGCGCCCCTGCACCGCACTATATGCTGATTTGGCTCCACGTGGGGTAAGGCGCCCCCCCTGAAGTGCGACTTATGTTGACATGGATACACGTGTGTAAAGCGTGGCCCCTGGGGCGCGCCTTACGCCACGTAGGGGTATAGCGCGGGGCAGGGGCCGCACCTTACCTTTAATTCTGATTTATATATAGCGCGGGGCAGGGTTCACGCCATACCTTTAACTGATATAATTATATAAGGCGCGGTGTAGGTACTGCGCCTTGTAACTTTTCTCGGCTATAAATACCCTTCTCCCCGATTAAGTTTCTCACATCTCCTTACATCTCTCCTCTCATCTTATAAATTAATACAACAATTCCGTCAACGAGTCAATAATTCTGACAATATTCTCATATTTTATTCAGAAGTTTGTTTGATTTTTCGTTATAAGGTAAATTTGTGATAAATTGTTTTATTATATTTATTGTTTATTATGATTATTTGAAAAAATATTATACTAATTGTTGTCAATTAATTTCTGTGTTTGTAAAATTAGAAAGCAGGAATATACGTCGAAATAGTTTTGAGGTACAGGTAATAATATAAAATTATATTATTTAAATTATTTACATTTATGTGTAAAAATTTTATTATGTTATATTTTCATTCGTATATTATTTATTTAATCAGCATTGTTTCAGTTATTTTTTTTGTAGATATAATATTGCCACACTTTTAAACTCAAAGAATGGCGCGACTTTCAGCTATTGTTTATTATGATGGTGAAATTCGAGAAGATGAAACAGACGTTGTTTTCGTATCAAATGAGCGTGTTAAAATATCATTGAAGAGAAACATAACTCTTGAGGAGCTAATAACGAAGACTTCGAGGAAGATTCATGTCGGAAGTAGTAAAAGAATGTCGTCGTTGCAGTACAGATTTCCAATATCATTGTTGCCATTAACTTATACAGCGTTCGAACTTTTGAACAATGATGATGTTGAAATGATGGTTGAAACTCAAAGTAACTATTCAGACGTCGATATTGAGATGTATGCAAATTTTATTCAAGTGTGTGTCGTTCGGGGTTAATCATTAAGCTCCTACTATGGGCTGGCTGAACAAGTTGACAGCCCGACGACAGTAATGTGTAATGATTTTAATGCCATAATAGGGAGACATTCATCCGTAACTCCTTACGATGTGTATCGAGATGGGTCGACGAACAATCCGTATGGCAACATCGCGTCCAGTTCAAGGGGAAGGCATTCATCTGCAAATCCGTTTGACCTTAATATGGAGATGCCATCGACGCAACCATCTGTGCAGTTTTCATTTGACACGATGGCTTCAAGCTCTAGGGGGAGGCATTCGACTGCGAGCTTTTCCGATCTCAATGTCGTATGCCTTCTAGTTCAAGGGGATGGCATGCAAGTAGTAGGTTTTTCGACCTAAATGTGGAGCGTATGGAGGAATCATCATCTCCACCAGAAGAACCACTTCGTGAGCCTGGTGCGGATGGTGCTGAGACTGGACTATTCATTCACCCAGAATCACCGCAATTCAACTCTGATGATGATGAAGTTCCAGGAAATGTGACACAAACTGACCCTCTTGCACACATGTATGAAGTTGATTATGGTGCAATGTATGGGTCAGAATTTACGGATATGCCTCATCTCGGTGACTATGGATATGCCAGTTTAAGGGGCGTGTCTTCCTGACGCGTGTCAGATTCATAGGGAAGGCGCATCCCCTGCCCCGCACCTTAGGTGTAATTACACACCTACCCCGTGCTTTATCCATGTGTATCCATGTCAGCATAAGGCGTGCTTCAGGGGGCGTGCCTTACCCCACGTGGTGCAAAATCAGCATATAGCGCGGTACAGGGGGCGCACTTTACTGCTAAGGGTGTTAGATCGGGAAATATAGTCTGACCGATGTTAGATTGATAAATATACCGGTCATCGGTGATTTTTCGGGAAAAATGCCGCTAATAAGTCCAAACATTAGGCAGGATTAAAATAAAAAAATTAAAATATCATGCATTAAATAGGAACTATACAACAACAAATAAAATGACTAAAATAAAACATAACAATTTATACTACTTAAACATGAATAAACTAAAATAAATTAGCCCAAATCCAGAAAAAAAAACACGAACATATTTAATAGGGAATAAAGGACCAAAATAAAATAAAATAAAGAGTAAAGAGCTCAAAATAAAAAAAATTTAAAGTTTCCTTGGTAACCGAAATGCAAATATTACAAAGATTTGGGGCCCTAAAGTAGGATTTATCTATGCGCGAAAATGTAAACAGTTTTCCTACAAAACTACGTCGTTTCATGGGGAATATTTAAGCCTACAAACCAAGGCTTCTCACCCATTTCCCTCATTTGTTTTCATTTTTCAGAAACGAAGAGAGAGAGAGTTGAGAATTCTCTCTTAGCCTAAGAGTGGATCGATTTCAAACTATCCCTCTTCTCACCCACAACCCGAAAACCTCATTCTCTTAGCCTAAAACCCACTCAATCTTCCTAGATATAGGGATTAACTCTCGATTAAAGCAAATTTGACGACTTGCAGGCTTTCCCCTTTAAACCAAGGTATAAGGTTTTACTATTTCTTTCTTTTGTTTTCTTTTTTTCGATGTTTAGTTGGAATAGGCAGTATGTTTTTTTCGGTTTGATGTTTGGTTTCGATCTCTCCTCTTTTTTTCTTTCAGTATTTTTTTGGTTTTTTTCTTTTAGTACCCCCTTTTCTCTTTATTGCATGCTATGTTTTTATTATCCTTTTTGGGTGGAGATTGATTCGGTAGGTAACATACCAAAATTTTAGGATTTTGTGTTGGTTTAGTGGATTAGGTATTTGATTTGGTGGGATTTAATTTTTGACTTTGGTGCATGTGACTTGTTGGATTGGCTGAGGTAGCCTGATTGGTACTTGCTGACAGTTGATGGACCATGAGAAGGCACGGCTGGCGTGGAGGCTAATTGGAAATTGCTCGGTGGCTCGATGGTGGAGAGAAAGATGTGAAGTATTCGTCGGCTGGAAGCTGGGTAGTTACTGGCAGTGACAGCTTAGGGTTTTAAAACACTGGATGTTGAGTGATCTAGATCATTGGATGGGTCCAGATGCAATAGTTGATATTAAGATGATAATAGTGTTAAATTTAGGGTTTAAAAACCCTAATACTACCGGGTCGTATATGGATTCTGAGTCGGTTCGGGTCTTCGGGTCGAGTTCCATCTGTTTGGGTCAACAACTTAGGTTGTAATGTTGGGTCATTGGTTTTGGGTTTTGGATATTGTAATTAGACTGGGATGAGTGTTGGGCCTGCACAACATAAAACAAAACTAATTAATATTAATAATAATAATAACACAAATAATAATAATAAAAATAATATTATTATTATTTTTAAGCCCGGTCAAAAACGGGTGTCTACAGCTGCCACTCTTTGCACATTCTTGTGTTAACAAGAATAGGGTAAAGATGAAAAAGACAACCAGTTTTTGTCCAATTCTCTTTTTTTGGTTTTAAAATTTGTTGTTTGATTTGGGGGACGATACTGCTCATACGTGATAAAGAGTTCGAGTCGTCTAAGGGTGACACGACTCCTACATAATGAGGAGATCTAGTCAAGAGATGGCACTGCTCATACTACGATGAATCTTGGCCATCTAAGGGTGATAACACTGCTCATAC